CACGAGAGGGTTAGCAGAATATTTCAATGCGCAAGAATTCAGGAGGGGTTATCAAAGCTGGGATCAGCTCTTCTCGTTCTGCATAGTGCCACTCAATGAGAATATGCAGTTCCGAGGGGATGTAACACACCCTGGCCGAAATGGCATTGGGCCTAATGATGGTCAGTCTCAGCCAACCAAATGAATCCATATGTAGCCGAGGGTACTACGCGTAGAGAAAGTGGCTTGGCAACGACTTGATGGGTGGAGAGTCAAGGATCCGGCTGATGTTAAACTTGCCCGCGCTTTGTTTTCCGCTGCCGTCATGGCATGCGGTAGCGAGTCATCTACTCCACTTTCCCCGCACCCGACTCTGTCATACTATGAGAAATCCCGCACTGAACGGATACCTGTCTTTGAATCGCTAAATTAATTATTCGTATACGCTCGAGAGTCATGTTAGGGCATGGATTAGAAGCGTTCATCGTTGAATAGCACCGATGTCTGGTAGCGAAAATATTGCAAGGAATAGCGACGATGACTTAGGGAGAACTGCAAATTATCTAGTATCGTCAACCCAAAGAACGGAGGTCATGAGATTTCGATAGAAATATTTGCTTATCCCCGGAAGATCCCCTCCTTTCCTTGATGCGGAGAAGGAATGTTGTACTACACCGGATATGTCTCATACCTCGTAGAAAACACTGGTGTTGCAAGATGCGCTGATAATTGTTTAAACTCTTTCGACACCCAAAAAAAGACATACCTCATACAAGACGCTTCCTGAGATGCCTACAAAAGTTGCTCTGATTACCGGTGGAGCTTCGGGAATAGGTTTCGCTACTGCGAAGGCCCTCTCAAAGCACTTAAGCGAAAACTGGGACATTCACATAGTCGACCAAAACGCCGAAGCAGGCAAAAAAGCAGCATCTGAGCTAAAGGGCGCCTTTTTTCATCAAGCCGACGTTACAAGCTATCAGTCTCTCACTTCTGCCTTCGAGGTAACCTGGACCAATGCCGAACGCCTCGACTTCGTATTTGCAAATGCCGGAATCGTCGAGAGAGATAACTTCTACGCAAAGCATGATCTCAATGGTCCACCTCCCTCACCACCAAACAAGTTCAGCGCCGACATAAATTACAAGGCCATGGTTGATACGTCGTATCTCGCTTTGCACTATTTTCGCAAGACCAAAGCCAAGAATGCCGGAGATGGATTGGATCCTGTTCTGATCATGACAGCTTCTTGTGGTGGTCTGTATCCGAGCGAGTTCTGTCCCATTTACAGTGGAAGCAAGGCTGGATTGATACTTTTCAATCGCGCAATCGCAGTGGCATATCACAATGAAGGCGTACGCACATCTACCATCTGTCCTGGGACTATCAAAACAGCGTTGATGTCGGAGGAAGAGTGGAAGTTCTTCCCGGCCGAGCATTTTACACCAGTCGACACTGTCTCTGACACTGTTGTGAAGCTAGTTGAAGGTGCAGAAATGAAAGATGCGAAGGGGATAACAAAGAGCAAGAATGAGATTTGGGGATTGACGGTGGAGGTTAACGGAAGGAACTTTTACTTCAGGGATGGACCTGAGTACTGTGATGACAATATGAAGGAGATGATGACAAATACTAGTATGACAAAGCAGTTGACTAGGATTGAAGGCAAAAGCAAGTAGGGATTATGCAACACATCTGCGCGATTGGAGAGTAATCAATTGTTTAGATCTTTGAATACCGTCCACTTGTCAGTCTCACTCCACCATCTACAGCTATATCCTCTCCATTGATATACGCTGCCGCAGGACTGCACAAGAATACCATCACCCCAGCAATGTCTGAGGCTTCTCCTAATCGTTTCCTAGGATTCATTTCTTCCAGCTCTTTCTGTCCGCCTAGTATTTCAATCAAGCCATTAGCGAGCTTTGAAGGAAAGAAGCCAGGCGCGACGGTATTTGTCGTGATGTTCCTCGGCCCAAGCTCGATTGCGAGCTGTCGCGACAAATGATTCACAGCTGCTTTGGAAACACTATACATGATAGTCCCATGCTCTCCTACATGAGACACTGTCGTTCCAGCCGTTGAGGATACGATAATGATGCGAGAGGGGGAGACGCGAGTGCCAGCGCGCTCCAATAAAGGCGCGAACCTGATGCTCTTAGTGGACGCGCTTCTGAATATTTTATTTCGTACATACAATCTGCAAAGATTGAAGACACCACGGACATTCAGGTCCAAAACTTTCTGGCTCGCCCAATCTGGCGTGGGATTAAAAGGGCCGCCCCAAGTGGCCCCCGCATTGCACACAAGGATGTCCAACTTATCGTCGGTCTCCTGCACCTTTTTAACCAATCTTTCTATGTCCTCAGTATCTGCGACATTCGCGGCGATACCAACTGCAATTCCAGGAACAGGCAACTTATTGAGTTTCTCAACGGCTTGGTCAATGCCCTGCTCTCCTTCGTTCTTACGCGCGGAGATGAAAACCTTCTTTGCTCCAGCGAGGAGAAATGCAGTCGCAGTGTGCAGACCCAATCCTCTAGAACCTGGTAATCTGAGTAAGATTTCATGCCATCGAATCTTGTTTAACTTCACCTCCTGTAACCAAAGCGACTTTGCCGTCAAGACTGAACATGCGGTTGAAGTCCTTAATATCAGACATGATGAATTTCCCCGATTGGTAAGAGACCATAGAGAAACGACAGAATGGTTTATCAGGATACCATACTTGATAAGTACTAGACAAAGATAGTCTGACTCTGAGGAGCTCGGTCAGTGGAGTCCGATAACCAGGTACTTATCCTCGGTAACAAGGAGTGCGGTCTGTGCGGTCCGGGTATCCCGTAGCTGGTCATGTGAGGTGGCTGCTGCAGCTAACAAACCACGTAGTTTTGGACTATAGCGTTGACCGCTTGTGAACTCATTTTCTCTTGTCAATCTCTGGGTTCGTCCGTTTCTAAATAGCTGTCATAGTCTACATCGACCTGATTGAGCGTGCATCCCGCTGTCATCCGCCAACATGCCTTATTCATCGCCTTTCCCCGCATTAACCATCCCGAAATGCAATGTGCTGCACTATCTATTTCCTCAAGAACAGACTCCCTCTGACACGCCACTATGGATTGATTCAAAAAATACAGAGCGCCACCTTACGCCACGGTCCATGCTACAATGGACCAAAAGATTGGCAGTGGGCTTAGATCGTATTGGTAGCAAACCAGGAGAAGTTGTCATGATCTTCACGCCCAATCACATCTTCGTCCCAGTTGCATATCTTGGAATAGTTGGATCAAAGCGTATATTCAGCGGTGGCAATCCAGCCTATACCCTCTCAGGCAAGTCTTTTGCATCACGTGTTTGCCGTGATGAGCTGACAGATCTTAGAGATGGTACACCAGGTTACCAACACCCAAGCCCAAATTCTTCTCGCGCATCCCAGCTTGATAAAAGTGGCAGTGGGTGCCGCAAAAAAAGCTGGTCTGCCAGAAGGTCGTGTCTTTCTGTTTTCCGACGAGCCTTGTGCACCAATTGAAGGGTGTAGAGACTGGAGAGAGTTCCTTCCATCACAGGCCGAGGTGAAAGGCTACGAATTTCCTGCTTTGTCAGAACACGAAGCAACGACTACTACCGCAACAGTAAACTTTTCATCTGGAACTACCGGGCTGTCCAAAGGTGTCGAAGTGAGCCATTTCAATTTGATCGCTAATAGTGAGCAAACTATTTTCATGCGATCTGCCAACAAACCCTGGACCGCTGACAAACGACCCGCTGAGAGATGGATCTCCTTCTTACCATTATATCACGCCTATGGTCAGATGTACACTATGATCATGGGACAAAAACTTCAGGTCCCGTCTTACATCATGCAGAAATTCGAATATCCCGAGTTTCTAAGAATCATCCAAGATCACAAGATAACGCACCTCCAGCTGGCGCCTCCTATCTTGATTATGCTGAGTAAGAGACCGGAAACTAAGAACTATGATCTGAGTAGTATCACGGATATCTTGTCTGGCGGAGCGCCGTTGTCGAAGCAGCTCCAGAATGAGATAACTAACAAGCTGGGCTGTGAGATCATACAGGGCTGGGGCATGACTGAACTCACTTGTGCAGGAACGCAAGTAACTGGTGGCACGGTAGATGAGTAAGGCAAGAATCATGCTTAACTCGAATGCTGTTAACGTTCAATAGTTCTGGAAGTGTGGGCAACTTAGATCCGAACTGCGAGGCCAAGCTCCTCGACGATGACGGCAATGAAGTTCCCGAAGGCCAGCCCGGTGATCTCTATATCCGAGGACCACAAGTCTTTCTGAGATACTGGCGCAACCCCGAAGCTACGAGAGAAGCATTGTCTCCAGATGGCTGGCTGAAAACTGGTGATGTTGCCGTCGCGAAGAAAGGATGGTTTTGGATTGTGGATCGCAAGAAGGTGACTATATACTGAAGGGAAAATACAGCCCGCCCAAGTCAAGTCCTAACATGACTACAGGAACTAATCAAAGTGAATGCATTGCAAGTTGCGCCTGCAGAACTCGAGGCAGTGCTACTCCAGTATAACCCCATTGCTGATGCAGCTGCTGTGGGGATCACGATCGATGGTCAAGAGTGGCCCCGCGCTTATGTTACACTAAAGGAGGAGTATAAGGGCAAAACGACTATTGAAGACATTCACAAGCATATGAAGGAAAAGGTGGCAAAGCACAAACAGCTTGTTGGTGGTATCGTATTTGTAGATGAGATACCGAAACTACCATCAGGAAAGATTGTTAGAAAGCTTTTGAAGGAGTGGGCAAGGAGGGATGCGGAGAAGATGAGCAAGGCCAAGTTGTAAATAAGGGGTACAATCACGATTGGACCTTGAGAATCAGATCCTTGTATCTTTGACGCAGATATCGATCATCTCTTGTTACAAGAATTCATGAGTTGAAAAACAAGTTTCGAAAAGATAACTCATCATTCAGTGTCTTGCCGAAATACCGACACTACGCATGGTTCCTAACGCTACTATCCCATTCCCCTAGTACTTAAAACACAACGACCTGTCTTTTCTCGGCAAGACCCTTTTTCATATCCTCCACCATATTTGGCAAATCTTCCAATTTACGATACTCGACTTCAGGTTGTATACCATGTTCCCCGGTAAAATCCACCGCCTTCTTCATCCTCTGAGAAATACCCATGCTCTCAGCCTTGATCTTATATCGACCCAACGTTAAGTCAACTGCATTGATGAAATCAAGGTTGTTGGGTGGAATCCCGACAACCATGAGCAACCCTCCCGTACGTAAGAGATGGGGTGCGCCGGCATACGCCATGTTTGAGCCAGAGTAGACAGCAGCTGCATGACAGCCCTTACCATCTGTGAATTTCTTGATCTCATCAATATAATTTGGATTCGTTTTGGAATTGAAAGTCGCATCAGCGCCGAGTTTCTTTGCCATGGAAAGTTGAGAGTCGTTTATGTCGAGAGCGATAGTTTTGATACCCATCTGCCCTATTTAGTCAGCCTTGGATTCATCTCGCCTCTTCTCACAACAAGGGCTCGAGATACAATAAAGGAAATAAGAAAACTAACGTACCGCTTTAGCATACTGCACGGCATACTGACCCAACCCACCACACCCCACAATCGCCAGCCACATACCCTTCTCCAACTCGCACGAGTCCACACTATTAAACGCCGTGATCCCCGCACAGAACAATGGTGCCGTCCTCTTCATATCGAGGCTCACAGGCAACTTAATCGCATTCATCCAATCCACAACCGCATACTCTGCGAAGAACCCATCCACCGCAAAGCCTTGCAGCTGCTGCTTCCCTGTCTCACACTGCGAATTGCTTACTTTGCAGCCATCACACGTGAAACAGCAACCAGTGAAGTAGTTGAAGCCGATCGCGTCACCGATAGAGAAACCGTGACCTGAGGCTTCGGAGCCCATGGATTCAATATGGCCGACGCCTTCGTGGCCGAGTGTCACAGGGTAGTTTTTGCGAAACCTCGTTCCAAGGTCGGAGTGGCATAGTGATGCAGAGTGTATTTTGACTAGGAATTGGTAGGGTTCTGGGGTTGGCCTGGTTATGTCGTTGATGACGACCTTTTGTTCTTTGCTTATGGTTGTGTGAAAATTTGTGGGATTGTATGGGTGAGGGAAGGCGGAACTTACGGGTCCCACTGGCCGGCTTTCATGATTGCAGTTTATATTCGATACTTTAGTGGTCAAGTCCATATATATTTGAGTACCACAGTGGCTCGTTCTCAAGCTATATTTGTACCTAGACAAATTCCATCTGTTGCCGGTATTCCGCACCATTGGCGAACATAGTGTGAGAACCCTGCAAGTGATATGACGATGCATCCTAGTAAAGTCAGTCTTCCAAAGAACACCGTAAATTCGCAGGGATTAGCCAGATGCATTAGGCAGTGTCCCCTTAGGAGGAGTAGGAAGTGGGGCCGACAGGAAGAAAGCGGGGTTGAGTAGAAAGCGAAGCTAAAGGGTAGAGAGTGCGGTTAACAAGTAGTAAGCGAGGTGAAGACGTCTACGGATATAACAAACACTCGGCGATTTTCTCACTAGACTATGGCATGCTTTTTCCGGATATCGTATCGTTGGTGCCGGTAGAACAGCAGATATTGCACTAGCCCGAATCAAAAAGGCTATTTTTTGCCCAGCAGTGTGGGAGTTGCTAGACGACCAATTGGCTAGGTACAGTGTATGAGTCCTTCATCTTTGCCTCAAAGAACACTATAGTATGCGTACGTTTCTAAGTGTTTGCAGATGGAACACAAAGATAGCTCCTTATGCTAGGACAAATCTCACTCCTTCTATCATTTTTTCAAAGAATTCCTTCCTCGGCTTATCAAGCTTTGAAGATTGCCAAGCCATAAAGAAATGCGGGTAACCTTCGTACATGTCGAGTCGATTGAGTACACTAGATGATCATTAGTACATTGGTCAAAAAGGTATATGCTGTACATACCCTGCTTTATCAAGCTTTTCTTTAATAAGCAAACCATCGTCTCTCAGCGTATCGTGTCCTGCAACGGCAAGGTACACCTTCTTCAAATCCTTGATCCTAGAATGCAAGAGAGGGGAACCGTAGGGATCGGTTGGCGGTGGGCCAAAAGCGTCTACGTGATGTTAGCACTTCTATTGATTGGAAATGGGGGTTTCATGTTACCCCAGAACGCCCGCATTGTTCCTGCAGTATTGAGAGTATGCCGGTCATGTTCCTCCATAGCCGTATACTTGGCCTTCAAGTCCTTCGGTACCCCATCTGGATGGACTGTTGCCGGCATAAGGCCAATAACACCCACGAGCTGCTCTGCTAGTCCGTCATCTATAGCCCTCAGTGCAGTTGCCAACGCGAGCTGTCCACCTGCTGAAGTGCCCGCCGTGAGGAACTTTCCATCAGCGGTGTTCAACCGCTTTGAATTTCTCAAAGCCCATTGCAGAGCCTCGTAGCACTCGTTCATCAATCCCGGATGTGCATTCTGGGGCGCAAGTCCATATTCAACGGAAACAACCACCATATCACCCGCTTTTGAAACGGCTCTGCTGAAAGGATCGTCACCGTCTACGTTGCCCATGGCCCAGCCTCCACCATGATAATACATACAAACCGGCCTGTCACCTTTGTATGATTCAGGTGTGTATATGCGCAGCTTGAGCCCTTTTTCCGTCGTAATATCTTCTGTTTTAACAGAAGGATCTGGCACAGGAAATACGTGCTTGGCTGCCATAAGTTCCCCAATACGTGTATATTGTTGGAACAAATTTGAGAGAGGCGGCTCCAGGATTATACGCTCTCCGAATTCCTCTTCGAACTGAATATCGGTCAATATGGATTGAAGGACCCGTTACGAGGTTCGTACAAACCTCTAGCCATGGCTTTGCAAAACCCTCGTTAGCCATTGCTCATGAATTGAGATCGTTCTTTGAATTGAGGTGATTCTTTTGTTATTGTTGAGATGTAAGATTGATTGTTTGAGTCCGCAAAGATCTGGCCTCTGAAGGTATGTCTATCCACGCTAACCAATATTTGGGAAACAGCGCCACATCAGCGGTGACTTCTCCATATGTGGTGAACTGCAATTTCCACAGTGATGAACTTAAATCGCCAAGTATCGCACTTGGAGAGTTCTATCTCCGTTCATGGTGTAATGCGCATATCCAGCATCACGGATGCTGTTAGTGTCATGAGTAAGGAAGCGTAGTACTAGTAGCGTAGTCTCTCCACACTGCATTGTGCGGGGGCGGTACTCCACCTCCGCTCTCCACCTTCACGCCTAAACAATTCCGAAGAATCCCGTCAGTCCCCAAAACTCCAAAGTAGCCTCGGCTTCGACCGAGCGCGCCACTAACGCGTCGTTTTGTATGCATGCAGCATGCAGCAGCGAGTCATGACTTTCGATTCATACGTTCAAGTCGCGTCTTTTTACTCTTCCCGCGACATATGCTTGCATCATAGATCGCACTCATATCAGCCCCAACATCCTCAAAAATGGACATAGACATCAACAGCCATGCAGCCTTCTCGCGCATACCACCATGGGTCAAAGCAAAGTTGCGTCCGATTGCAATCTCAAAGATAAACCAAGTATATGAATGGGTTGAGACTGAGTGTATACCAGCAGAGCGCATATACAAAGCTCAACTCAGCGCAAGCAAGACGAGATGGGAGACTCCAGCCATCATCCACGAGCTGCGGAAAAAAGCAAAGGCGCAAGGACTATGGAATCTGTTTCTGCCAAACCACTTTGTTGAGAGTCCTGGATTAACGAATCTGGAGTATTCATGTTGCGCAGAGATAATGGGAAGAGTGTACTGGGCAGCGCAGGTAAACCCAACCTTCCCAAAATCCCACATACCGGACAATAAAGCACACATCTGACTTCCTAAATAGACTATGAACTGCCACGCCCCGGAGACCGGCAACATTGAACTCCTCGCAAAATACTGCACCCCATCCCAGAAAGAAAAATGGCTACATCCCCTCATGAACGGCGACATGTCCTCGGCCTACAGCATGACGGAACCCGACGTCGCCTCCTCGGACGCCACGCAAATCGGCATAAAAATGGAAATCACAGACAAAGAAGTCATCATCAACGGCCGCAAGCTCTACGGCAACTGCCAATACAACCCAGAAATGCAACTCTTCATCCTAATGGGGTGCTCCGACCCCTCCAACCCCAATCCCTGGAACAGACACACGACGCTCGTTGTGCCCGCCAACTCCCCCGGACTCCGGCAAGTCAGAAACCTAACCATAATGGGCTATGACTGGGCGCCCGAGGGCCACGGCGAATTCGTATACGAGAACGTGCGGGTGCCGCTAGAAAACATCATCCTAGGTCCAGGTCGCGCCTTCGAAATCGCTCAAGGGCGGCTGGGACCCGGTCGTATACACCACTGCATGCGGCTCATAGGCCAAGCCGAACGCGCCTTCGAACTCGCGCTCGTACGATGCATGGAGCCGCGCAAGAAGCCACGGGGCAAGTTCATCGGCGAGTTCGACAGCAACATCGAGCGGATAGCGGATATGCGCATGACGATTGATGCGATGCGACTCGTCGTTCTCAACGCAGCGGATACCATGGATCTACAGGGCAACAAGGCGGGCAAGTATGCGATTGCGCAGAGTAAGATTATGGTTCCGAATGCGCTGCTTAAAGTTATCGATGAGGCGATGCAAATGTATGGTGGGCAGGGACTCACGCAGCATACGCCTTTGCCTGAGATTTGGACGTATGCGCGATTTGTGAGGGTTGCGGATGGGCCGGATTCGGCGCATAGACATCAGGTTGGAAGGGATCAGATGAAGACGGCGCAGGGGTTTAGGGATAAGGCGAAGGGGTATACGGAACGGTATAGGGAGTTGTGCAAGAAGTGGGGATTGGAGCCGGAGGAGTTTGAGGGGATAATGTAGTAGGTGTCTCTTCCTTCTGTATAGGTACGAACACATTAGCAAGTTTCATCACCCACATCCTGTGTGAGTAGCAAGAAGGGAGTAAGGTGTATAAGAGCAATAAAATACTATTGTTTCTTCTAGTTGTTGAAAGATAGGAAAAGGGTATCATATCCAAAGCCTAAAATGGCGGTTCATGTTGGTATCATCCACACATGCCCCGGTTTCGTTATTCATACTGCAATGGGCGGTGACCCAAAGCTTAAGGTGTCATCATCGTCAAAAAAGGATGCTGCTTCTTGAGTCGACATGATAAAGTCGTCAAATGAGGTGTTCGCCGCTGTCGTGGCAGCCGGCTTCGAGGCTAAGGTAGGATGCGATTCGACCGCGCATTGCTTTTTCGCTGGTGGTGCATGCGTCCTGGATGGCGCTGTAGCGGCTCTTCGTTTTGTATTAGCTACGGACATTGACTTCGGCAGCTGTGAGGCTCTGAGCTTTGCAAGTTCAGCATCAAGACCTGTCGCAAAAGGCCCTGGGTTCAAACATTTTCCAGCTATTTTCTTATTAGACATTGAGGGTCTGCTATTGTTGGTGACTGCAGACGAGCGTGCTGGCGTATATGTAGATGTTATGATAGGGTCGCACTTCAATGGCATAGCCAATGGCTCCACTCGTGGTGCCACAGGTGCAACTTGAGTTGTCTTGTGGGTTTGTGCAGAAGACGCTCTCTCTGAAAGTGCTGTCGGTATGATTTTCGACGCCATAGGAGTGGTTTGGATTTTCGATTGATTAGAGACACTATGAACAGGCTCATCATCCAGATCGTCGAGGGAGAAGTTCAGGTCTTGGGTGGAAATTGGGGGGAGGTCCTCAACGATGGGAAGTGAAGTGGCAATAGAGGTCGTGCTGGTTCCGATGGCCTTGGGTTCTGTTTCGGAGGCAATTTCACGCGAAATTTGCGTACTACTTTCAAAAAAGTCGTCCCAGCAATCGGCTGGCGCTGGCGATGCAGGTGACTTTAAGGATGTATCTGCAGCAGTTGTTGTGTTCGAAATGTTCGACAAGGTTGATTTCGACGCTGGAAGACCGGGAAGCTTGAAGTCTGGATTGGAATTTACTTGAGGCTTTGCTCGTAGCCCTGGTGGTGTCGTCTTTCGGGATAAAATAGGAGGCGATATCCGACCTGGAATAGAAGGTAGCTTGAACCCAGCTTGCGGTGTGTCTCGTGGCGGTTGAGATGACGTGTAATTGATGGCGACGCAGATGGGAAATTGTGTG